GATTGGTCGACATGGAGGTGAAGCTCCGTGTCGCCCAATGTAACAACTCGCTCGCCTCGCTGCGCTCCCGCCTGCACGCTAAACGGTGGCTCATCGGATTTCGGAACGAGAACGTCACGGGTCAGGTTCATGCCACCAAGGCGCGAACGTTGATCGGGCAAGTGGGTGAGCGCGCCGAGTCATATGCGCAGAGATACAGGAGGGGCCGTGCGGCGGTGGTGCAGCTGAAAGGAGAGGACGTGTTTCCTCACCTGCGGGAGCTCAAGCCCGAGCATATCGTTCTGGATGGAGATTATGGCGAGAGCGATGCAGCGGCTCGCAAGAAGCTCGCCATGATTGGGGGCGGGCGGGGAGCGCGTGCGCCACGGAATGCGCCGGGGACTTCTAAGCGAGTGATGTCATGGATATGGACGGCCCCAGGGGCGCTTGAGAAAGAGGAGGAGCGTTTACATGATTGTAAGTACATTCCATGCTGCATAGACGACTGCCGATAACAATAGCTTGCAGCAATCCGGGTCGAGTGGGCTCGAGCGCACGCACGCAAGACACGATGGTCGGAAGAGGTGATGTTACTGCGGGAGGAGATGCGGCGGGTCGTACGGTATCTGAGTTGGCAGGCGACGTGGTGGAGGGAGCGGACTGCGTTGAGAATGGACTGGACGCCGGCAGTGGGAGCAGGCGCGCGTGCTTACGCCTTGAAACAGGTAGACTGGCATGATCGCCTCGCAAGCTATCTCCGGCTGAAGTGGAATACGCCGGCCTTGACGACAGCGCAAGAGATAGTGGCTGTGGACGGCTTTACCGATTTATTCGAGTAATTGTCTTGTAATGATGGCTTATTGATGACTTCTGAATGCGGAAGAACGGTTTGATGCTCCGCATTTGGTACCGATTGGTGAAGAAAGAGATAATCGCTGGTGATCGCCAGTGATGGCTAAAATAATATTGTTCTACTATACATTTATGATATTTTTTATACGGCAAGAGGCGGGACCCCTTGCACGTAACCCAAGATGGCGAAGTAGGCTGAAGAAACATAGGTTAACTACCTTGGCCCTAGCCAAGCGTGGTAGGCTAAATGTGTTGATGCTAGCCAAGCGTTGGCTAGAGTCATGGATTTAGATAACAGTTCCTTTGGCTAGCTCCATAACAGGAGTCTAAATCCTAGCGCTATGGGTGAAACCGGACGTTCCAAAACATGGATATAGCACTCGACAACCAAACCAACGATGTCGAGAGACTGACCGCCCGTGTTGCGAAACTCGACATGAAGGGTAGCCACCGCAATGGCCGTGCTAGCGCTCGAGACCCCCGTCTCCCTGACCCGGTTACAAGACAGCATCCTTTCAACGTGACCCAATACGTCGCCGTGACCACGGCAGCAGCGCTGAACACTGAGAGATCCGCACACAAGCTGAAACGCACCCTCTTTTCTGTGCGTAAGGAGCCTCTGCTGAATACGCAGGCAGCGGCTGGTACCCCTGCGCCGCTGGCGTTCAAAGCACCCCAAAGAGCGGGTCTTGGTCTGGGTTTAGGGCTGGTTGGAGGCGTGTGCCCTCGACGCCACCTCAGTCGAACATGCCTGAATTCGACTTCCCCGAGGATAACTTCAACCCGTCGCCTCCACTAGCCATCAGGTGAGGCGCGGGAGGGAGCAGGAGGACACGTATCTCGAATTCCGTTCCGCTCAAACGAAGCCCGGCAGGGTATTCGACACCATCGCCGCCGCCATCGTTTGATTGGGGCCCCTTGCCGACCCTCCAAAAGAAGCCGACGCCGGTATCGCCAGAGAATTCTTTGAGTGGTTCTTGGGTGTCCGATGGATTTGGTAGCAAGAAGTAGTTAGTAGTGTAGCAATCATGATGAGCAAAAAATGCCTTACTTGTATTTTGGATGAGTGGGTCCGCTTTCTCACAGCTGCTCCTCACTACCTTAATCTTAACGCGCACAAGAATACGGCGGAATTATAAGCAGGCTGAAGCAAGCCCCGGACTCTCAGGCCAAGTTCGTTCCACAGCCAGAGGTGACTCGGGCTTTGTAAGCAACGGGATGGAAAGTGTGCTGTCTTGTCAGTCGTTCGAAATCCATGTTGCTCAAAGGTCGAACAGTCCCGATGAAGCCATATGGTGATTGGGATTTGATTGGGATAAAGGAGGATGGTGAATGATGGGATCAATATGTACAAACAACCCATCGTGTCCCAATTTGGGAATTTCAGCCAAATTGAAGAAAAAGATCATTGCACGCACAAAGAAATGTGTCCGGGGCAGTATGCACAACCTTTGATAACATATTGATGTATCTCATCATGTATGATTGACCATTGGACCATTGCTCTTGGAATTTACTCTAGATACTGTACTCATGTTGGGGAGTGAACAGAAAGTGTTACAAGGCTTCCAGTCCGTAAATAGCCAAGCTGAGAAGATAAAAATAAGTCTATTGGGTGCCCAGGTGGCCGGAAAACGAATTGACCTTGCTCTGAATAGGGAAAACCTTTAAATGATTCTGTCAATCATTCCTCCTTCTCTGTCAACCATTCTTGCAAAATGATGCATAAATATTGAGACCCGTAGGTCTACCACTCCGGAAAAGCGTGTCATCCTTGTACAGGGGCCATGCTAATCTTGCCTAACAAGGAAGCTATAAGTATTCTTTGAGTTTGATCGGATTCGACATCAAATCACGTGAACATCTTACTACGTGCGTTCGCCCAATTCGCACCGGCTTGGCCGGTAAGAAATTCTAAGCTTGCGTCAAATGCAGTATGTAAATTCAATGCCTGAAATCCTTCTGAGTCCTTCATGACTTCGACATACTCGTGAAAGGTATTCAAAACATCTTCTTGGGCGGAGATCTCAGGCGGGGGGTTATGCATATGTCTCGATGGATGGTGTTGGCGGTGACGGCCTGTATATTTCGCAGGACATCTGCAGCAGAAAAACTTCCGCCTTGAAAAAGCTGCTGGCGGCTCTCTCGAGCATGAGGAGCGCGCTGCATGGCGGCGAAAAAGCTAAAAGTTTTGCGGGAACGTAGTCATCACATGTAACACTTGAATCCAGTGGACGATACAGTATGTACTAGTCGACGTCCCAAAAAAAATGAAGTGCGCACACTAAAGACAAAAGATCGTCAAGCTACCATTGACGGATTTAAGCGAGTCGGTTACAAATATAAGTTAAGGGTCCATGAGTGTCCATGTGGATCCATGTCGTGCTCGACAATCATTCTCCGGCCGTCACCACCGTCTGATGGCGAAACCCGAGCCGCCCATCGTCCAGCCCGGCGGGCGCAACAACCGCCAACGCCGGAACGTCAACCCTCCACCGCCCTCCACGTCGACGTACTACCAGGCCGCCTCGGGCCTGCCGATCTGCCTGTACCCGCTCGACATCAAGATCCTGCTGTCGCACTTTGGCACGTACCCGTGTCTCGCCACCCGATTCTGCCTCCGCCTCCATCTCCCTCCTGACCTCCTCGGCGGTCGCATACCACGAGCCCTCATCGAAGTTTCCTTCACTGAGCGCGGCCAACGCGGCCGGATCCACGCCGCTAAAGCCTGTTGGACGGGCGACGAGGAGTTGGGCAGCACCATCTGCGGGACGCCCTCGTCGACGGGCGAGCATCACGGGCGGGGCAGCAGACGGAGGCGGAGGAGCACGGAGGAGCACGAGCATGAGCCCGAAACGCAGCGCCATCACGAGCGCCACCGCAATGCAAATAGAGAACGCGCCGATCGGCGGGTAAGACATAGAACGGAATGAATGCGATGCCCGCCTCAGTACGCGGCTCAGGCTTGTACCACGGCACCCCGTCGCGCAGACCCGTGTTGCTCGTGCCGAGGAGTATGTTTATCGTCTAGGCGCCGAGCGAGTCCGCCACCCGCGTGCGGTCGAGACGGCGCTTTAACCCCAGAACGGCCGCCTCGATGGCGTCGAGGTTGTCGAGGATGCACACTATGTCCTCTGCGCGTGCCTGCCAAAACAGTCGCTGGTCTGCGGACGCCTGGAGCCTGAGGAACACCGAGTGTAGGTGCGTCGACTGCAGGACGGCAAAGCCGTGCGCGGCCCAAAACTCGTACAGAGGCGCGTATCCTTCCAGCGACGAGACCTCCGTGCCCACGCAGCTTCCTCAACTATCTCAAAATCATCTTCATCTTCGGGCGCGGTCACCACCTCGGCCGGAGGACGCCTCCAATCGACAGAGATATTCGAGATGACGGGCGTCTTGGAGGCCTTCAACAGGCGCGCGATCTTCCCCGTGAAGCTCGTCTCTTGCTCGCCGACGAGGATGCACACCCCGTGTCCCACGCGTGCAATGCCCTCGCACATCGCCGTCAACACCGCATCGCCGATCCCCAGCACCGATACTCGCAACGGCACGCTCTCCGGCGCCTTCTCCACAGCCGTCCGTACTTCCCCAAGCACCGCGTCCGGATCCCGCCGTCCGTGAGCACGAACACGCTCGTGGGCCGCTCGAGGTTCCGCCCCGCGAAGCACGCCTGCAGCGCGCTCTGCATCTCTGCCCCGTCGTAATCGGTCTCCATCCCGTCGACGTGGCGCGTCCCCGACCAAAATAAGAGCTCAAACGCATCCCAGAAGAGCAAAAAGAAAGGAAACAATACTTACTGACTTCCTGGCACGCCCCCCAAATCGAGTGAGGATCCGTTGGACGCGAGATTTTCTACTTGCGCGCGCCACTGGGCCCATTCACGATACTAACGTCCCCGCTCGGCGCCACGAGCCCGCTGACCCGCGGCGCGCTGGTGCTCTTGGAAACCACTGGCACTTGATTGGCCGTTTGAGTTAAGGGTGTGGGGGAGGGCGTTGGGTGGGCGGGGGCATGTGTGGGCGGCTACAGCGAAGGTTTAGCATCGTTTTCGATGCGTGGTTGGTGTGGAAGACGTTGAGACGAGAGCCGGGAGAACCCGGGATGAGCTTGTTGTTTGGTGAGGGCGGCATTAACCCCATGTGGTGCTTGAGTTGCGGCGGACTTCAACAGCCTGTATGGCGAAGCGGTAACGGTCTTTTCTCTGAATTGCCTTCCCGAGGTATCCTGGGTTCAAATCCCGGGATGTGCATTTTGATAATTGCACCATTGCTCCAAACCCTTTGCGAGCGCACCTCAAAAATGGCCGTAAAATTGAGAAATTCTGTGTTCGGAATCCGAACACAGAATCGGCCAATTTTACGGCGAAAAATTTCCAATGCAAAAAGCTTCCAAGTGAGTCCGTGTGAAAGGGAAATCGGTACCACAAAGTGGGTGTAAAATTGAGAAATTCTGTGTTCGGAATCCGAACACAGAAATGGCCAATTTTACGGCCAAATTTCCCGAGACACAAGTTGCCATGGTTCTGGAGTGGTGAAGGAGCAGTTCCCGGGCTGGAGTTGGAACGGAAAATGAAAGTGAGAGAGAAATGAAGGACTTGAACATAAGAGAAAATGAAAAAGTTGAAATTGAAAGTGACTCATTTGGGCGCAGAAAGAGGGCCCCAGGTGAGAGGGAAAGCAAACCTGCTGAGAAGGGAATGCGCGGTCTTCAGAATGTAAAGTGAAAGATGCCCCGGAAGGAGTACTCTGTTCAATTGAGTGGAAACAGTCCAAAAAGGGTCAGACCCCCGGAAAATTCAACCGCAGGAGCCACTTTCACTTCTCTGTATCGTTCCAATTTTTCGTATGACACCCCGAAGGGGTCAAAGAAGTGTAGAAATCTCGGATACTGACCACCAGAATGATGTACCTTGCGTGGCACACCTATTTCACGGCGCCGGTTTCATGAGTAACCGGTTCGGTAATCACCTAATATCTCCTTAAGGACTTTCTCTTACCATGTTGGGACATCTCCGAGTTAGGAGCGAAATGGGTTGCTCAATCGGTGAACCGAGAATCACTGGTAAAATATGATCAAACCAGAAAAAATACACGAACTCTTCCATCCGCTTTGAGCATGTGAGCCTGAGGTGATCGGCGTCGTGGAAGAAAAGGCGAAGGAAGTAGCCAAGAGGTATCTGGGGTCCAAATCACTGTGCCGGCCCAAGGATCAACAGAAATCAAGCGGATCAGCGAGCAGCTCACTGCACAGCAGAGCAGCTCACTCTACGTTGCCATAGTGTGTCCCTCCCCCAGCGGGGCCCGCCACTGCACCGTTGGAAAGCCCTGCCCGGTGAGTAACCGGTACTATTTCTGACTGCCAACCTGGCCGGACTAGGAACCTGGCCACTTGCTAGTTTCCGGGGTAGATACTTAATCCTGTGTCATTTTTGTGGCTGGGGGGTGGAATAGATCCCATGCCGCCTGTCCCTACTAAATTTCAGCCAAAAGTGATGACTTGATGTGAAGCAGTGGCGCGAATGATGTCGGATCGGAGGGTGGGAAGATCATTTTCTTATCCCCGAATCACTGATTCGCTCTATTCTCTGCCGATTCTGAACCGATTTGCTTTGTCTGGGGCTTATTCTGCTCCCCTGACTGCGGGGCTCCTTCTCAGCATGATCCTGACCGCATATATCCCATTATTTACTCGTAAAATCGCAACATTGTCCGCCCTTCAAGTGTGAGGACTGCAACCAAACGGCCCAAGTACCAGGTGGCCCTTTGACCATCCATACCCACTAATTGTCGAGCTTCATAATTACATGTAAGCCTTCAACTTCAAATGTTTTCCACAATTTTCGCTTCTTAATATATCCCTCAGGCCGTGGCAGACGCCGGAAGTGCCTAATATTTGTCGTATCAAAGTCCAAACGTCGGGTTCTCAGCAGCATGACACAGGTGTAGATTTTGGGGCTCAGAGAGGTTCATTCACTTCTTATTAACATACTTGCAACATATTTTGGCCAACCAAGTGCTCCTACTGGTGTGCCGCCCTCATTTCTCCATGAACGTCCCTCTGCAGCCCCATATGGCTCGTCAAGAGCACTTTGTCCCGCCATTTCTATGGGTCTTTTCTATGGATCTTGCTTGTGAAAAGAGTCATTAATAGTTCTTGACCATAATTACACAGTGCAAGACCACTGCCGAAGTCGGAAACCTCAGTTTGCGCGGGTGGCCAGGTACGCCGTCATTTCCCCTTTTGGGAACTCCGCCAAAAATAAATTCACAAGGCGACGAATATGTCCTCGAAAATTAGACTTAAGGGCTCAAACTGTTCCCAAGATCCCCGCCCGCCGCATAGAGCTCATATGTCGCAGCTGGGGTATGCTAGGTGGCTACTAATGGGCCAAAATGGCTATGGTGGCCAGGATCCCCCTCCCAGATAGTACCGCCGCCTTCGATGTCACTTGACTTTTTCATCATAGGATTCTTTCACGGGCGAAATTTCCGCTCATTCTCAAACCCACAGCCAAAATGCATATACGAAATAAACGCTTGACAAGCTATTATCCTCAGTACCTTTTCGGATGGCCCATTGACGATGAACGGTGGCGTTTGGAAACGTCTGGGCGCGTTGCAAGGAGTATGACATCGAGTATGTACTTCTTCAGCTCACTTTCTGGTCAACCATTCAAGCCTGGGCAGTTCCGGTATTTCTGGACCCGGTCTCTCAGCGGCTGGTTTGGTTTGCTGAAGCTCGTATTCTACGTGACCTCCAATCACACACCAGACAGTGTGGCTCTGGCTTCCAACGCGGACTTGATTGCGAAGGTGAATAAAGTCCTCGAAACGGAGGAGAATGGGAGGTGGTTCCATTATATAAGTATTGAATATATCCTGCAAAGTGTATTATTCTTCGTGCGCCGCTCCGAGGCTGTTATTTGATTATAGGAACAAGCAAGAGAGCTGAGAGAACGGGTTAATGGCGCAAGTTGAGCTACACCGGCTTCGCGAACGCTTTCTGTCGCTCCCTGCCCGTGTCCACTTTCCGACCCACTCTCCTCCTCAGCATACGGACTATCACTATCAACTGGTGTAGGCCTCGTCCGAAGAGGCAGTATCAGGCCACAAGCATTGGACGATGACGGCAGATGTTCGAACAAGGGAGAAAGAAAAAGACTTGAGTAAGATTTTTTCTTCCAACAGTGTAAATATTCAAATGCAGCTGTGATAGGGTGTTGAATCATCATCTGCATTGAATAATGGCACACAGCGTCAAGCCGAAACCCATCTTTGCGGAATCTCCACCAAAAGATCCCACTTGTCTTCGGTCCATCCGAACAGGTACATTTTGGCGCCTACAACAGCGAAAAGCTCGAACGTCCCCTCCGTCGCAGCAATGCGCTTGCGCAGACCGAGCGATTTGCATCCTCCCTGCAGGGAGTAGACGTACAACTCCGGTCCTTGGGCCGAATCGGCGTGGAAGGTACAGATGACGGCGGAGGTTGAAGCTGGATCCGACTTGAGGCACCCCGAGAGATTGGAGATTCCATACCACGTTACGGTCCCGGGGAATTTTCCACTGTCGGCGAATTGCGATGTGAAGCTGCGCAAACCAATGTCGAACAGCACGAAGGATCTAGAAGTTAAATCCAACTAGCGGCAGTTGGTGTGCTGTCGAACAATGAAGAACTGTCTTACTGTTTCGTCGCTGTCAGTGCAACCAACGGTGAGGAGGATCTTTTGGGTGTCCCCGTCCTGAATGGCGACAGCGTCGCAACAGAAGCCCAGGGCGGGAACATGTGCTGGGTAAGGCTCATCCCGGACATCCCAGGTCCAGTGGTAGTTCGCGAAACTAGCCACGCTGTACGATTCGTTCGACTCAAGCTGTTCGCCAGCAGATGTTTTGCCTCCAAATATAAACAGCTGGTCGTCGACGACGATGAGACGCGCCTCAACGCGCGAGGCGACGGGTCTGCCCGCGACGTCGCGACCCACCATTTCAGATGGTCAACGTCGATGGCGATCAGCTCATTCGACACCTTTCCGAGGTCGTCCGGCTTCAGCCCATTGACCTGCCCGCCGAAGAGGAGCAGGATGCGTTGCCCCGACGTTTGAACCTTATAGAACGCCATCGCCCCTCCATACCGGGAGGGAAGCTGCTGAGGGCGCTCGGGGGGCCGAGCGGCTGCGGGAGGTGACGTATCGCTTTCTGCAATGTCCAGTCAGTTGCCGAGTATCACATTCTCGGATGTACTTACAGTTATGTTCTTCCAGGTTCTCTTTCTGAGATCGCAGCTGAAGATTTCCGAGTTCTTGCCATTTTCGTCGTACGTATTAAAGAACACCATCTGGTTTTCATGGTCTACGGCAAAGCTGGAAGGAACCTCGCAAGGTGGGACGTTGCCGCGCAGATTTTGTGTGATCAAGATAGACGACGCGACAGCGTCCTTCTCTTTTTTTACTTTGGTGTCCTTCTCGTCTTTTATTTTGGCCGTTTTGGCTTTATTCTGTCGTGCCGCATGAGAGGCAGAAGATTCCGCTGCCTTCTCAGAAGGAGTGGCGAGTGGTTTGCGAGGAGCCGCTTTTCCCATGATGGCGAGAATCAAGATACAAGTCCTCCGTCATGATGGTTCTTGCTTGCCCTGTAGCCTCTAGATTGAGGGACCTTCCCCCCCATTTCACGGCGTGGATGGTGTAGCGGTAACATTGGGTCTTCCCATGGCCTAGCTCCGGGTTCGACTCCCGGTTCACGCATTTTTTCTTTCGATTGCTACAATTTTTTTTTCTTCGCCTTTATATCCCCCATTGAGCAGTACCAGTACAGTATTTCCGCTTTATTGGCTTTTTCCCCACCCAGGATCATGAACGCGCGGTACCCTCGGTTGACTTTCAGGCTCTACTCGCCACGGTCGCGTCAACCCAACCTCAGGAATCGAATCAAGGTCGGACTTAATTATAAAAGAAATTCCACCTCCAGTCGGTCGTCTCCTACAGCGTCGCTGAAAAGCTCCGAATAACTTCCTCCAGCCGCCCCGGCGCCTCAACCGGCACCAGATGCCCGACGCCGTCCAGCACCGTCAACGTCACCGCCGCCCCCGCCGTCTTCAGAACGCGTACGACACGCTCCTCGACCTTCTCGGGTGTCTCCACCTTATCGAGGGCGCCGACCACCACGGCGACGGGGATCGTGAGCTTCGAGTCTTGCGCAGGCGCCGTCAAAAACCCCTCGTAGTCTTCCTGCATCCCGTACTGTGGCCACGCCGCC